TTTTTATAATGTCGAAATCTCCTTTTTATAGTGGTGAAACCACCCAACCAAATACATTATGACACATCCATGTAATAGAATGCTAAGTAAAATGGTGTATACATTTAAATTTTTTACCTGAAAAATTTGAAAAGTGAAAAGGCAGAGCAAAGACATTTAAATACACACACACACATGCAAAGAATGAAATCTAGAAGCTTAATCATCAAAATGTTCCTGGTGATCTCTAGATGATGATGGCATTACAGATGATTTTCCTTTCTGCGAACTTGGTGTTTTTTAAAAAATATTTAAAAATATTTGACATTTTTGTAGCTGGAAAAGCCTTTAAGAATTTTCATTTTGTAAATTAAAAATATAAAATTAAAAGCTACTCACTTTTTGATTTAGTTATGATGAAGTAAGTAAATGTGTATATTCATGTAGTCAACTGATATTTTATTGAAGCTATTTAGGCACTATTTTAGATGCTGGAGATACACACAGCTCATAAGGTAGTTCTAACTCAAGAATACCTCATTTTATGGACCATCTTGAGTGGGGAGATACGTAAAAGGCAAATAGATAAATGAATAAGGTACTTTCAGGTAGTGATTAAATGCAGAAAGAAAGTAAAAGTGAGTGATTTTGGAATCACTGATGGAAAAGTGTGTGTGCATGCATGGATGACTTTAAATTGGGTGGTTGACAGAGTCCTCTGAGTTGCTTATTAACTTTAGGCCGATAATTGGATGGCATAAAGAGCTAGCCATGCGGAGATCCGGGTCCAAGTTCTCAGGCGGAGCACAGTGCAAAGTCGCCTAGGCTGAAAGGAGTTTGTCATATTCAGGCAGGAGAGAGTGAAAGACAGAGTGAGGAAACTCAGACACATGGGAAAGCTCACAGGGGGGCCAGCTCACAGAAAGCCTTGGAGATCCTAAGAAGTTTGTAGTAATACTTCATTATATGTGCTATGGGAACCCATTGCAGGATTTTAAGCAGGGAAGTGACCTGATCTGATATATGCCTTGAAAAGATCACTATGCCTACTGTGTTAAGGATGAATTGTAGGGCAGCAGATGTGACAGCAAAGTCCAGTTGGAAGGTTATGTGCTGTTAGACGGCTGTATGCTGAAGTCTAGGCAAGAGATTATAGAAGTAGAAACTGAGATGGTAGCACTGGGGAGTAGAGAGAATTGAGGCGTGTATTTAGAAGCACAGTTGTTGTTGTTGTTGTTCTTCTTCTTTCTTCTTTCTTCTTAATATCAGCACTGGGGGAAAGAATCACTTAACAAAATGAGGATAATGGTATCTCCCACGGACTGTTATCACAAGGGGCTAATGCATGTCAAGTATTGGGCATATTTTTGACGCATATAAGAACTTACAAAATGTTAGTTACTTACCATTATTGTTATTTTTATTATTGTCAAGAATAGGGCATGGTCTTTGAGCAAAAAGAGTTTTTCTGTAGAAGTTAAATTATACCTTGAGTACAATTCAGATTGGATGTCTGTTACAGCACATACTTGGTAAAGATCAGAGAATTAGTCTTAATTTTTAGTGACCTTTGCTGGATCAGAGAGAGAAGGTTTATTGATTTCCTCCTGTACTTCATAACACTGAGCCATAAATATATGTGTAAGTAGCAACTGTGTATAAATGGCAACATTATATCTTTAAAAAGTTGTGATTTAGCTATTTTTTAAACATGTGCTAGTTCGATGAAGTGAGTCCCTGAAAATCTTGTCTGCAAGTGTGTGTCTGTAATGTTTTTGCTTAGGGACTATTTTCCTGCAAGTTAATTAGTGATAAGTTACTTCAAATTCTATGTACTTCTTTGTGATCCTAATTACTACTTTTATTTTGGTTCTTTAGACCCAAATAAGCAATTCAATTATAGGGATAATTATGACTACAAACCTTGTTTGTGAAAGAAAGGCCTTGTATAACCATCAGAGATAATGAATTCTCTTTATTGGTAAAAATAATGTATTTAACATTGTAGAATGATGAATAAGCAATTATGATTTGTACTCAACAGAACAGGTAGAATATATGTTTTAAGTAAACTTTAGGTTTTAAGTAAATGTTTCTGAATTACTAAGTACTAAATTTCTGAGTAGTTTAAATAGGGGACTTTTTTGTGTTGTGGGTAACAAAACCTCTGATTTAATAATGTATTTCATAAATTCAAACCCAAATTAAAAGAGCTAACTTCTGGGGTGCCTGGGTGACTCAGTCAGTTGAGTGGCCGACTCTTGATTTCAGCTTTTGTTGTGATCCCAGGGTTGTGGGATAGAGCCCCAATTTGGGCTCTGGCTGAGTGTGGAGCCTGCTTAAGTTTCTCTCTCTGTCCCTCTGCCCCCTCCCCTGCTTGTGCGCACGCTCTCTCTCTCAAAAAAAAAAAAAAAAAAAAAAAAAAAAAAAAAAAATAACTTCTTCTTTGTCTTCACTGATTTTGACTGTTCACCTCTACCTTCTTTTATGAATGTATGTGTGTTACACAGTTACATATATTTTATACAAAATTGTGTTTTTATGTGATAATTAAGAAAACAGATAAAAGGAAACTGTAATCCCACTACTTAGTGATTTAGTCCTTTTTTTCTATCTGTATTTCAAATATATATGTATATATATTTTTTCTCCTGGATTTTGTTTTATATATTTTTAATCTAAAAGACTAATCTGAAAACACTTTCCCATGTTGTTGAATTTTCTATAATATGCTGTTTTTTTTCTTGCATGTATGGTTTATACTTTTTTGATGATCTTAACTGCAGTAAAATACACAAATTTGAAATTTATTAAATTTTATTTTTAAACAAAATTTACAATTTTAGCCATTTTTTAGTGTATAATTCAGTGTCATTAAGTATAGTCACAGTGTTCTGTAGCATCCTTTTAGTACAGGATGATGTTATATGAAAAACCATCATTTATTTAATAGAGAGTTTATTGTTGGACACGTGAACTGTTTCCATGATTGTCCATAAATAATGCTTTGATAAACATCTTGATGCAGAATCTTTGTTCAGATAATGCTATATTTTTTTCTAACATGTGGTACCAGGCAGCTCTTTCTGCCTATGAGTCCTGTCCCTGTGCTTTAATAAAACCATCTTTTTTGCACCAACCCCCCCCCAAAGTAAATAAATGAAATATGGTACCAATTTGCACTCACATTATCAATGTGTGAGCACAATTCCATTTCTGCACCCTCTTTCTGATACCAAGCATTTTTTTTGTTTTTGTTTTTTATATTCTGCATATAAAAGTGTTAGTAAAAAGTAAACACACACTTTGCTATTTTGCTTCAAAGTTATAATGGATACTTTTTAAAATGCCAGTTGATAAGTTTAAAAATATCTATTTTAACCCATTTGTTAGTGAAGAAAGGAAATTCAGTCTCAGGTATTATTAATGCATTGATTAGGGAAATGTGAGTTTGCCATGGAGGCTTTATTCAAATCCACAGAGGGAAAATGACAAAATCTTCACGAGTAAGGAAAGTGCGTGTAGCCTGGTGGCAGAGTAAGGCTGTGCTAGTAGGGTGAGAAGCACGCTGCAGTTAGAGAAATAAACAGAACCTAGCACCTGTAAAGTCGTGCAGATATTAAAAAGCAAACAGCAAGATGGTGATAGTTACATTAGCATGTAGCCTATACTTGGGTATTCCCAGTTAGTAGTACAAAATCGACCTCTTTTCACTCAAAATTTTCAGCTTAATTTGAAGGATATTTTCGACAGAAACCCAATTCTGACCTTGCAATACGTATCTGTGGAAACATAATCTTTTACACTGAAGGCTTTTTCTTGGAGCCTGCTCTCCTGAATTAAATGAATTTCTATAGATAGTGTGGAAGAACATATCTTGAAATAAATCTTTTTTTTTTCCAACTTTTCTCATAGTTCTCATTTAGTTTATATATGCATAAAATGGAGAAAGGACTGTTTTAGTCTTAGTTTTACTTATGATGCCATTTTCTAACTACATTATACGGTAAGTAACAGCATGGGAGTAGTGATATTTAGACGGTAAAACCAAATAAAATTTAAAGTAGAGAAAGAATCATTAATGATATGTATTAACTTATAAAGATAAAAATACTAATGCTTATGGTTTTCTTTCTTTTTAATCCATTGTAATTTAGCTTACAATTTCATCATTGTACTAAAATTTAAAATTGTCGGTGGTTTTTTTTTTCCCCTTCTAAATCCTCATGCTGGACTTGCATAATGTTATTGCCCTCTGACTTTTATAATGTTGTACTTCCTTCATAATCTTTACCTTTCTGAGTGTATGCCTAGTCCTTGCACTGCTTCAGATCCACTCTGGCTCTCCCCCCACTTTTTCTGTCTGAAAATTATGATACTTCCTACCAGTTTTCTGGTTCTGCATTTCTAAATGCCCGTGTTCCGGCTTCTTTGTCATATTGTTTCCTTAGGGTCGCTAAATTCAAGCTTGCAATGTTTTAGTTTGGCCATAAGTCCCAAGAGTAGAATATTTTGGCATTAATTCTTCCTTTTCTAACTTCTTGTCACCAAACCATTACCATGTATTTCTGGTATCCATATGTTCTCTATAATGTTGAATGTTGTACTTTGTCTTAGATTTGGTTGTTGGCAGTATTTAAGTAACCTTTATTTCTTAAAATATAGAGGTGGAGTTTGTAGATACAATTTTTCTTGTGAAGCATGAGAGGAAAGTGGATGCCTTGGACAGGAGTCTTGTTCATTTTGTATTTCTAGAACAGTTGCCCAACACATAAAAGATGTTGAAGAAATGTCTTTTGAATGAACTGCCCAAAGACTTAAGGATCAACTTTCTTAGTTTAGAGTTCTGTAAGAGGAGAGAACTATTTGAATGGTAGCCATTTTTTTTTCTTTACCCTTTTTTGCTACAGTATTTTAGGTGTTCATATTTGTTAATGTTATTAAAGAAATTCTAGTGTTTTGGTTTTTTTTTTTGTTTTGTTTTTACACAAAATTGCTTCACTATATATTTTCCTTTTTAGGTTTTGGAAGGAAGGATGTCGTAGAACACTTACTACAGATGGGTGCTAATGTCCATGCTCGTGATGATGGAGGTCTCATCCCACTTCATAATGCCTGTTCTTTTGGCCATGCTGAAGTTGTGAGTCTGTTACTATGTCAAGGAGCCGATCCAAATGCCAGGGATAATTGGAACTACACCCCTCTGCACGAAGCTGCTATTAAAGGGAAAATCGACGTATGTATCGGTAAGTATTATTTGATGGTATCTAAGCTGTAAGATCAATCTGACAGGTATAAAGTTTGAAATGAAGATTTAACATTTTTTCTCTTGTTTTTTTATTGTGGTGCAAATAGTGTTCTCACAGAATAAATAAAGAGGGCTTTATTACTTTCATTCTTAGAAGCTATTTTTTTTTCCATCAAAAGGGAAGTAGAGAGAAAGCAATATAAAGTTGGTTAAGACCAGGATTCACAACATTAACTTTCCAAATGCAAGTCAGATGCCGACTGATGTGGAACTAAATTTTGATGGATTGCTATTATCAAATTTAGTTAATTTATGGTCTCTTTAAAAGACTGCAAATTTTCCATTCTAGCATCAAATACAAGCCTGTAAAATACAAGTTCTTACTGAATTGGATGACATATTGGGATGCTTTATGTTGATTCAAGGAAAGTCATCTAGCTCTAAGGCAAAATCTTTTTTCCTCATGTTGCTAAAATTGAACACCAGTTATTAGCACTGGAAAGCTTTGAGTGGTTCGAATACAGTAGTACAAAGCTTAATATTTTCAACATGTGCCATAGTCTAGAAAAAAAGCAATTTCAAGTAAAATTGAACTTTTCAACCATTTAAAATTTTGGGATTATATGAAATTATATCAATCACACTTCTTTCTCTTTCATATTTACCTAAATGTATATATATTTTTTAGATTTTACTTTATTGTATAAAACCTTTCATTTTGAAATCTAAACAAGCTTCTAGAAGTCATGCATAGTTTCTTTTGAGTGTATCTATTTCTTAACACTCGGGATGGTGGATGTTTGTTTAACCCATGGCAGATTGGTTTTCATAATTGTTGTCTTCTGGGATGGATAACAGCCATTTCAAGTTTAATCTTTCGTGTTTATCTTTATGATAAAACTCAAACATATATGTCAATTTTAAAGATATAGTGGTGGTGGTATTATTAAGAATTTCTCCCTCTTCATAGTCATCTAGTCCAGCCTCCATTATATTTTTTATTTTTCCTCAAATTATTGCAATGCCTGACGTACAGCTTCTTTATGTCATTGTCTGTCATTACCTTTTCTCCCTTCTACATCTGTTGACATAAGCCTTTGGGTACCCTGGTCCTTTTTGATCTCTGAGATACTCCATTTAAAGTTGTTTCTCCCATTTCCTCCCAAGTCTTTCACTGAAGCAGCCACGTCCTGGACTAAGTCATTACATAAAACTACCCTGAAAATCTGGAACTTATAAAATATCCTCTCTGACCACAAAACCTCTCTTATTTGTGGTAAGTTACCCATGTGATAATTATTTTTGAATTTGCTATGTATTCTTACCTAATGTAGACTTTGAACTTCCTACCTTCATCCCTTCTGGCTTTACCTTGTCATATCCATTGGATTCTTCTGTCATTAGTCACAGAATTTTGTATAGTTTTCACCTTCTTGAATTATTATCCTTTCTAGGCTTCAGTATTATGTTTTCTGTACCTGTACCCCTCTGAATAGCTTATCGCAATTAATATTCTTTCCTCCTCTTCCTAATCCCCCTCCCAAAAGTACATAATGAAATGCTCCTCTTATCTAGGTTCTGTTGGAATAAGAGGCTAGATGTAGGACTTGAATGTTTACAGAATGGATTCCCGCAGTCCCCCAACCCCGTGGTCCTCTGTGCTTTGGTACATATTGCTTTCCTTCTGGTTAAGTGCTTGTGTCTTAGAAAAGTTGAGGGAAGGAGAAGGGCACCTTCAAAACTGGAATGAAGATATAATTGAGGATATAGCTGCTATTAAAATAGTTATGGGAAGTAAGATTGGTTGTAGATCCTTCTGTACATTTAATTAGCTTTCAGGAATCTATTAGGAAACCAAATATACCAAAATCTCTGATAGTTATGCTGTATATCATACTTTGTGAATTGAGAATAGTTAAAGAACTCTGAAATGTTTCTTCTAGGCAAATTTCCACTTTGGCACAACTGGATGAAAACTTGAGTCTGATGGTTTGGAGAGATTAGTGCACAAAATTAATTTTTGAAAGGCTTTTGCCTAGATGATGAAATGCTAGCCCGATTGTTTTCAGATTAATCATACTCCATATGTGAGGTATCATAGTGAATATTTTTGATATTTATAAAAGTAGAGCCAGGCCATGTTGTCGTCGGGCTTAAAGGAGGCAGCAGGATGGATTGCTTCAAAGCACGTGTTCTGGTCTTATATCCTGATGTGACCAGTGACCAGCTATCTATGAGACCAGGGGCCATTTAAGTGCCATGTTTATATGTGAAATGGGAATACTTGGGTTCTTGGGAGAATTAGCTGATAACACATTTAAAGTACTTAGAGGATCTGGTATAGTGAACATTAAATATTTATTGCTTTCCTTTTTTAAATTGAAATATAATTGATGTAGTTTCAGGTGTACAACATAGTGATTAGACAAGTTTATCCTTTATGCTGTGCTCACCGCAAGTATAGCTGCTGTAACCTTACAATGCTATTACAATAACATTGACTATATTCCCTGTGTTGTACCTTTTTATCCCTATGACTTGGTCATTCCATAACCGGAAGCCTGTATCTCCCACTCCCCTTCACCCATTTTCCCCATCCTTCATCCTCCTCCCCTTCGGCAACCACCACTCTTTTTCTGCTTGTTTGTTTGCCTTTTTTTTTTTTTTCTTTTTAAGATTGCACATACATGTGAATTCATATGGTATTTTTCTTTCTCTGTTTGATTATTTCACTTAGCATAATACCCTTTGGGTTAAAAAAAAATGCCCTCTAGGTCTGTCCATGTTGTAAATGATAAGCTCTCATCCTTTTTTTTTTTTTTTTTTTTTTTTTTTTTTTTTTTTTTTTATGGCCGAGTGATAGTCCATTGTGTATATATGTATAGCACATCTTTATCCATTCATCTTTCAGTGGACACTTGGGTTGCTTTCATATCTTGGCTATTGTAAATAATTCCGCAATAAACATAGGGGTGCATGTATCTTTTCAAGTAGTGTTTTCATTTTCTTTGGGTAAATACCCAGTAGTAGAATTACAGGATCTATTTTTAATTTTTTGAGGGACCTCCATGCTCATTTCCACAGTGGCTGTACCAGTTTGTATTCCCACCAATTCCATAAAGGTTCCTTTTTCTCCACATCCCCACTAACACTTGATATTTCCTGTCCTTTCGAGTCTAGCCATTCTGACAGGTGTAATAGCTATTATTAATTGCTATTATTAGTGCTAAGATCTCAACCTGAATTGTGACTACTATGTAACCTAGACCTCCTGGTTTCTTTTGTTTGCCCTTTATTGACTTTTTTTTTTTTTTTTAAGGCCAATTTAAAATCCATCCCAACGAAACAAACAGAAACAAACAGATGCAAATACAAGAGTAACTAGTGGTTGCCAGAAGGGAGGAGGTCAGTGGGGGTATGGGTGAAATAGGTGAAGGGGATTAAGAATACAAACTTCAAGTTTAAAAAAACAAAAAGTCTATTCCATGTGTTTCTTAGATGCTTTTTTAGCTACCATCAAAAAGAACAAAATACAGCCTGAGATTATTTTAAAAAAATCAACTTTAAATGCTTGTATAATTAAACCAGCTACTTAAGACCAAGGTCATGGTTCATTATAGTAATTCAATGATACAATTTTTAGATTCTGTCTAACAAACCTAATTTACTTTAGAAATCAATACTTTTTCTACCTTTAGAACTTATTCATTTCTCTCTACGTCTCTCTACTCCCAGATATAAAGTGTCCAAAAAATAAAAGACATCTTCTTTTCTGAATATATATTATCTGATTTTTTTTTAAGACTATCCAAGTGTTAGTGCTTTGAAATTCATTGTAAAAGCCAGTTGTAGACACATCTTTTGCAAAGTTAACTGATACAAAGTCTGCCAAAATAATGGACATTTGTTTTTTGTTTGTTTGATTAATTTTGGCTAACTAGTATCCAATTGCTTTTCTGATTTTGGAGATTTAAAACTATGAGTGATCATTTTGGAGAGGAATATACAGGGATGGACTTGTTTTGATCAATCGGACACACCCCCTCCCCTTCTATATTGTAGAATTTTGAGTACAAAGACTTAGAGATATTTAACATTTTTTTAACATTTATTTTTGAGAGACAGAGAGAGACAGGGTGTGAGTGGGGGAGGGGCAGAAAGAGAGAGTGAGGGAGACAGAGAATCTGAAACCAGCTCCAGGCTCCAGGCTCCAGGCTATCTGCACAGAGCCCGACGCGGGGCTCGAACTCACATACTGCGAGACCATCACCTGAGCTGACATCCGGTGCTCAACCAACTGAGCCCCCCGGGCACCCCAAAAGACTTAGAGATGTTAAGGAATTATTTATAGCAGCAGTTTTTTTTCCTGTGGTATCAGTAGTGGTTCTGCCTGTTTAAGGTAGACAGAATTGGATTTTGCCATTTCCGGGTGTATAGTGTTTATGACTGATACAGAGATCTGGCAAAGGTAGCTAAGTGGAAGTTCTAGTATGGGGCCTTTAATAAAGAAATCTCTTGAATCTTTATAGAATTCCAGTGCATCCACATTTATACTACACTCCCATCTGTGATTCTCAAGGGAGGGGGGAGAGAGCATGTTCCCTTTGGAGACTTCTCGGTTCCTCAGCAGGCGTGGGACAGCTTGCTGACTTCCACAGCAAACAGTTTCAATGAAAATAGAGGCGCCTGGTTTTGGAACATCTGTGGGATTCTTACTGATTGGAATACCCAGCGTTGAGACCTGGAAACCCAGTAAACCAAATGAAAAATTCTCAGAGGGGAAGATTGAACAACCTGAATACATATCCCTGAATGAAAAAATAAAAATAAAAAGATTCCATCAGGGAAATTAAAGTGTAATATGGAAGAAACTTCCTGGAGCCAAAACAACCTAATTTTTTTCAAAGTGAAAAATTCAGTAGGTGAATTAAAGACCACATCAGTAGCGTAGAAGATCACATGTGAGAAATGCCCCCCACTACAGAACAAAATGTTAGC